CACCCCGTGGGACCAATCACTGTGCAGCTAGCTGTCCGTGTTGCATGCCTTTTGGACAAGGGGTGGTAAGTTTCTCCACTGTTCGAACGTTTCATTTGAACTGTTAAAAATATCAAAAATGACTAATTGTGAGTGATACTGGTTGAATTTCCCATAGTTAGCAACCAGGTTGTTCGAATGCATTGGAAGTTGGTTTCAAAAATCGATTGGTAAATAATTTAGGGGGTTAATAGTGAGCCACAGCCGTTCCCTATTTTTCCGAGCGATGAGAATCTAATCCGAAAGGACCTCCCAGATGCGCTTCACTCGCAGTAAGTCGACCTACTCTGATATTCATATCTCTTACTAAAATCACAACATCAGCCTGATTCGCCTTGTGAGGTCGTGTCTCTTTTGATAAAATGCATCTTTGACTGTATCTTGGCTGCGATTGGTGAGTGCGTACGCTGAAACGACAAATAAACAAACACGACAAACAAGTTTCGTCTTTCGGATCGGCGACTGCTTATTTTGCACGAGCCTCTAGGTCTCGCTGCACATATCCTGCTGTCCACTGTGATCCAATCTAGGAGCACCACTTCAGCTGTTTCACTGAGAGCCACGCCAGCAAGACCAGGAGCAGCAGCTTCAAGGTCCCAAGGAAGACTTAACTGAAAATTAGCGGATGGGTTTGATCGGGGCATCAATCGGATGGTGGAGCTAGAGTCTTAAATACCAGTTTCTTGTATACAACCCACATCGATGGCTAGGGTCTCCACGGTACGAGCTAAACCGGCCTGTTGTCCTATGCGCATCAGGGTTCGCAAGTTAGGAGTACAGGTCCAAGAAAATCAGAATAGTTAGGGTAATTAAGAAGTTTGACGGCACACTAATTCACATTCAGCAACGCCGTCTTTAACGTTGGGCAGGACATTTTAAAGCACAGTTCAGTTGGTCCCTGTCGAAACAAGACCTCCCCATACCCACTTCAACTGTGCAAATATTGCCAGTTGACATTAGTCCTCCATCTGAAATGCAGGTTACCGGGGAAATAAGCTATCTCAAACGACATAAGCCTTCCTGCCCAGACGGCCTGTCCCCATCGTTTTTTGGTGGTTGTAAAGTTACCGAATCGGGAGAGGTTCCAACAGAATGGTGTGAATCGGTGATCATACCGATTAAAAAGAAAGGTGAGGGATCCTATAGTGAAATACACAGAGGGATTAGTTTAATCAGCATCGTCTCTAAACTTCTCGCTGGGATTATACTTCTTCGATTGTCTGCCGCGCGTGAACGGTACACGCGTGAGAATCAGACTGGTTTTAGACATGGTCGAGATTGTCTCGACCACATCCTCACTCTTCACCACATTCTGGAGCACCGATATTCTCTTCGAAGACCCATCATCTCTGTCTTCCTCGGTCTAAAAGCGGCTTCTGACTCAGTCGACCGTTCTAAACTCTGGAGCTGCCTTTCCTTGAAGGGTGTGCCCGAGAGGTTTATTTCAGTATCACTATCCCTTTATACTAATAACCGATGTTCATTCCGAGCTTACGACACTTTTCCAACCGAGTTCACCACAGAACATGGTGTTCATGGTGTTCTATCTAACTTTCTTATATATTTAATTATTGAAACAGCCCTAACCTCGTGCGAAGATCAATTTGCTCTTAGATGACAGACTGTTTGATATCGAGTATGTAAACGACATTATGCTACTAAGTGAAGATCCAGGTAAGTTGCAAGCTATTCTGGACAGCCCGTGTAGACATGTTCGATATGCGTTTTGCACTTTCGAAGTGTAAAGTGTTATTACAAGTCCAGGTTGGTCCAGCNCCGAGCCTCATTTTTACTGGGGAAGTCATAGACTAAGTGGACAAGTTTTGTTACTTGGGCAGCTATATCTCACTCGGTGAACGCATCACGGATGAAGTGTCGGGTCTTAAGCAGAAGGCTCGATCAGTATTTGCCAACTTGAGACATCTGGCTGTCCGTGAAGGGTCGAGTGTATGCTGCGGCACATTGACCAGTTCTGTAATGCAGCTCAGAAGCTTGGCCATTGAGAAAACACATGAAGATAGACTACCGATGTTCAAACACCGCTATCCACACTGGACTGCACGAATGTGGTGGGAAAACCGGACGAGCGACGCTGAAATTAGGCACAGGGTTTTTGGGTATCCGTGGTCGGCCACTGGATCAAGTAATCGACCTCCATAGATTACGCTGTTTGGGACGTGTTGCACATGTTACCAAATAAGTTGCCACGGCGCGCGATGTTTGCCGAGGCAGGTAGTGGGTGAGAAAGTGTCAAGGGTGGTCAAAATGGGACCTGGTCTGAGGATATGGAAACCCTAACCACGAGATTGTGTCACACAGGTCATGTTAGGCTCCCTGGATGGGGACCCGGAGATCATGGTCACCGGTGGTTAGAGACACTGAGTGATATGAATGCGTGTTGTAAACAGTGGCGTTCGTGCATCTCGTCAATTTTTCTGCAACATTAATCTACTGAAATTCTAAATTTTCTCTTTGATTCTACTTTCAACCTTTCCTGTCCTTTCCCTAATATTCATCCAACCGGGCATACAAAAGACAGCAATCAGAAGCAATACACGGAAGCGAACGCTTGATGGTTGTTAAGACGTAACTTAATTCAACCGAAATGGTCTTTTTGTTATCACCCGCAAATTGGAGCGTTCTCAATCCATTGCTTTTGATGATTGAATCGTCAAGATTCCATCTCTTTCATCCCAACTGGTGTATAAACATGTGATTAGTGCGAAATTCACTAAGAAGTGTGAGATACCAATCATCAGACGCACAGAAATGTGTGAGGATGTACAAGTTCGTAGCAGACTTACAGTTTGGTTGTTTTAGCTAAACAGAGACAGACGTCCAACTGAGTGAATCGACCTGTTTCAATGAGATCAATTACACTCGCTTCCAGTGTGTCTGTCACGGTTAATGCGGAGGATTGCTCTAAGCCCCGACAAATGTGTTCAAATAGCTAGATGGTGAATAAAAAAGAGGGTAAATTCAGAATTGGAGTCGCTGATTCAAAAAAATGTGAACTATCAGATAACTTGAAAGACCACGTTTGAGCCCTTCATGTAAATTAATGAAAGCGAGCGCTTTTGTTATTCACGTAACCGGTTTTTAAGGCCCGAATGGCCTGTTGTTCGTTGAGCTGTGCTTAATCGTTTCGTTGTTCTCGGGGTAAAGACTTGTTTTGTTGTGCTCATTGGAGAAGATTTAAAATATTCTAACCTCACCTACCGTCTATGGATGGAACATCTAACAATTGCGTTCTTCACTCTGAAACCCCAATACTTTCGAGGGCCGGTAAATGCTCCGATCTAGCGCAAGGAATACGATCCCTGAGTGCTTCCCACAAACTATATGTCAGGTAAACGTTATTCACTGGCTGCAGGTAGCAAGATTTACATGAAAGCAAGAGAACAAAACAACGACATCAGGGCCCTAGTAGAAGAGTCATCGGCAGCAAGCTTATCTCGAGGAGCTGGACACCAGTGGTACCAAACAAAATCTCTAGAAGAGTTATGCAAATTGGCTTTTGGATATCTTGGTTGTGTTAACTGCAACTGGCTTCAGGTGCCAGTGAACGGCATTCTGACGGGCATAAAGGTTCAATTTTTGAACCTACACAACTTCGGTGGTAGGCAGCTTCGCTGTTATTTGGCTTGATTTAGTACTTATTCTATTGAGATTTTGCACAGCTTGTTACCACACGGCCCAGTGGAATAGTTTGAAACTCCAAATGAACTTACAAAATAGTTTACCCCCTATACTGATCAACATGCTAAGGTGTTCATTAAAAGAAAGGGTGTACGAACTATCCGACTGGACGTGGGCCGCTGAGGAACTGTTGTATTCATGACCACAATGCTGAATTAGGTCTCCGTTAGATGAATACTTCAGCTATTGATCCCCAGAAAATCGCTTGTTTTGACGCGCATAACTGAGCAGCAGTCACCCAAAATCGCGCATTGATTCATTTGTTGGACAGATGATTGAGTCACGATTTCTTGGCCAGTCTGAACCCAAACGAGAGTGAAAATCAATGACAGGGTCGATTCTAAAGATGAAAAGGTGAAATGAAAGACAAGCAACCACCGTGCAAAAAACGTCGGAGGTAAAAAGTCGAACTAATACATTGGCCTGCAGTTCGATCAAACTTAAACTCTGAGGTACGCAACCCCAATGTCACCACAGGATTTAATCAATAAAACTCTTACGCACATGTACCGTAACGACCGAAGTATACTTACTTGGAACAATTTATTGTCCTCTAACCGGATCGATTCATTCCCACTCTGAGAAAGTTGATGCACGAGAAATTCGAGCACGGGAATACACACATTTGTGCTTTCGGAGCTTGTAGCGGACCAGTACTCGTCCAAAGCACATGCAATTAGTTTGTGATATAAATGCGTACGATGTGACAGTCTGAAGTGGATGGAATTACACGGGCAATACTATGGAACAGATGAGCACCGAATGCGATGCAATTGCACATCATGTAAAATAGGAGAATAATAAAAACTGCAATTTCTTCTGAATACTATTGATTAACATGGAAAGCGAAACATCGTGTTTGATGCAGGAGCACACGCACCTCGCTTCGGATGTTTACTAAGCTATCAGTTGTGTAAATGGGAAGTACTCGACAGAAATTTGCTGAAAATAAAGAAAGGAAGCACATTAGGTAGCCTGTGACAGGACCAAAAACGGCAAACAACGATATATGCCATGGAGGTTGATGGCAGCAGATAACGTTCAAATTACAAAAGGCTCATACACAGAAGGTTTTCGATGAAGATGTTGCCGAGGGTGAAAAGTCCTAGTTAGAAAAGAAATCATTCTCGGTAGAATGGAGAAACAGGCGAGCGTAAGAGGTACGCATACAATGTGTTATTCAAATTTCGTCAGGTCACATCATACCGAGGATAAACCGCTGGAACGGACGAAATGCGCGTGACGTAAGTCATTCAGGCCTGAATATTTGAATTTATTAACTGCCCCAGTCTTCAAACCGTACGGTTGGATTGCTTGGACGCTCACGCTGACTGATGAGTCTAGATAACCGTCTTCTTTATGGTATTGATAACTTTAGTAAACCTATTTGTGTCCATGACTGAAATGAATGAGCATCACAAGGGGAAGGGATTTGTCAGTAAAAATGATCTGGAGTGATGCCCAGGGAACAGCAGAACTTCTGTGCTTAAACAGTGCCGGAATAACAGAACTGAGTTGCGAAAGCTGATTACAAGTGTAAAATACTTGCGATTAGAAAACCAGCAATCGACGATTCAGGTCAGAATAGAAGCTGAATTCGTGCGTTTAAAAAAAAAATCAGATAACACTTTCTCATCACAAGCCGCGACGGAAATGATCACCAACAAAGAGCGGACTGAAACAGAAAGGAACTGTATTTAAATTTTTGGGAATAAATGAACTTGATTAAGAAAGATGGTAAGATCGTACGCGAGACCCAGTTACTGTAAAACCAAAACTGGTTCACTTAAAAGGGACAGTCTAAATGCATTTATTTTCCTCTGATGTGAAAATTGAGTTCGAGAGCGAGTGAAAAAAGAGAAGCTAAAAAAACACTAACCCAAGATCTCCATCTGTGAAGAAGCGATCAGCACTGATAGATATCATGAGCAGATTGAGAAAATCTGTGGCACAGTGGTTCAACAAAAGCCAAAGGCGTGGATACTTGGGCTGCGATTGACGATTCCGTCTGGGAGCCTCATCGGGCATGGCCTCGTTCAACAGTAAATTGAAAATCTGAAGAAGTACCAGAAACAAAGTAAAAGGAAATATTCGAATAAAAATGTACAAGTCTTAAAATACTCCAAAAATACACAATTGCTAAGACAGCTTAGAAAGACTAGGTTACTGTTCCTAATTAAGTGCCATATCTGTGGTACCACCATTCCCACGAAACATCATGAGACCTACTCAAAAGCTCACAAGAGATAGCTGAAGTCACGCACGCAAATTGTAAGGTATGTGAAAGGACGGGTGATCGTGTTTCGAGAATGACTATACGTATATATAATGAGTAGTATATGAATTACCGGAAGAAATTTTCTCAGAAGCACAAAACCGATTTCGCGGTCCTTGCAGCTCATTGAGTTAGATGAGGTTAGACGCAGCTAACACCTAAAAACTGGTACAGAATTATTTCAATGGTTCTTCGAAACTTGTTCGTCTCAAATCCACTACCCGAGTTGCAAACGAGGTTCGTGTTGCGTAATTCACAACGGGAGTTCAAACATAAGAATGGCCAGACAGAAGACTACCGGATAGGCATACCTAACGAGCGGCAAGGACCGCGAAACCAGTCATGTGCTTCTGAGAAATTTCATCCAGTCATTCATAAACTATTCATTATAAAAACACTGGAAATCGGCCTTAGCGTCGAGTTGGCTGCGTCTAACACAAAGTACCTGGTACAAAA